TATATGTATATAGGAGGTGTGATCAGACAATAACCGTTATTTCCAATTTTTTCAAATTATTCATTTGTCAATAATATCTTGTTCCCTTCAAAGTAATCCCCCTCAGATATAATACACTTATGCAAGCGTTTTTCCAATCCTCGAAACACTTCTGAAACGCGTTTTTGGTACCACCAGAAGCTCCTGATTCGATATTTCTTGTTTCTCCTCAATCGTAGCAAAACGCTTTCCTTTCAGCGGTGTCTTCCGTTTAGGGGAGAGGAAAGAGTCACGCCTGAGCATCGATGAGTTATAATGGTGCAAAATCCATGATTATTTTTTCCACAATTTTATGCGTTTCTGGCGAATTGCTTAGTGCGAATGGCGCATATCTTCTATGTGATATTCCTTATTGACCGTACGATCTTGTGGCAAGAATTCATGATGCACCACGCCATTCCAGTCGAAGAAAACACTGAGCAAAATCTTCACATTTGACCGAATTTGACGTACCTTTTCATTCTCATTGTTGTTGTTGTTGTTGTTGTTGTAACCGCAAAATTATTCCTCGGAGTACTTTTTGGGGAATGTTGCGGGAGTGACAGTCCTTGGCCGGATAAAAATCCGGGTCGTTGCGGTATAAAGTCCCGACTGTCGCGGGAACTATTGGATTTTTGTCGCCTTTTACGACAGGCATGCCTTACCGCGGGTAAATTCTTGAGCCCCTAACATGCAGGGGGTTCATTGTCATTTTCATTGGCATTGTCATTGAGATCTTCTCTGTCTTCCTTAAACCGGCCGGTTATACCACAATTGAATTTGTGCTCTGCTCATAGTAGACTCGCCAAACGCCACAGTCAACATTTCAAATGTACTTGCGCATTTATTTTATTTGTTACACAAAACCTAATACAATTTCTTTGAAAAATTTTTTTGAATATTAAAAAAATCGAAGAGTACACCAAATCATGACTAACCTTTTTATCTGTCAAAAACAAACTGACAATCCAAAATGGCAAACCAGTTTGTTTGCAGCAGCTTTTGAAATCAGTCGCTCTGAGTTCCCTCTGCGAATTCTCTTTTACCGTCTCAATCGAGTCGAAACGGATTCCCCCACTGAGACCGTTTACGACGGCTAATTTCGCGCAAACGCCTCAAAACGCTCAAATAAATAATACTTTTTGTTGACCGTCTGTTCCATTGGAATGAATAGATGAGGTACCGAACCGTAAATATCGAAAAAACAATACCGGTAAAATTCTGGATTTAATGTATATAAAATTTGATCCTAAATGACTGGTGGATCAACTCACAGTCCAAACAACTGGTGGCAGAGTCTTAAAATTTGGAGGGTGTGTTCTGACTATGACATCCAGCAAGAAAGTATTTTACGGTAAATGTTCCTCGGACCAATTTATTCGTTAACATCATAGTTTGGGTTAGGTTTCCTTGAGATTTGAATGCCATGAGTAAAGGTACGAAACTGCTTTTTGATTAGTTAGTACAAAAATAGAGTTTTAATATCGCGCCCTTTTGATATTGCGCCATTCGTTTCTTCTTTTTGCTGCGAATTGAAAATACCAAGTACAGCCAGGTCCTTCTCTACCTAGTCCTTCTAACGGAGGGGAGGTCTTCCCCTGTCTCTGCTTCCAGCGGCGGGTACTGCATCGAAAACTTTCAAAGCTGGAGTGCATTCATCCATTCGGACGACCTAGCCAGCGCAGCCGAAGTCTCTTCATTCGCTGAACTATGTCAATATCATCAAATAGCTCGTACAGCTCCTAGTTCCATCGTCAAAACACAAAGAACCATAAATCGTATGCAAAACTTTTCTCTCGAAGACTCCTAGAGCCGACTCATCAGATGTTGACATCGTCCACTCTTCTACGCCATATTGTATGATGAGCGACTTGTAGAGTTTAGTTTTCGTTCATCGAGAAAGGGCTTTACTTTTCAATTGCCTACTCAGGCTTGGATAGAGTAAATCTACACTGGATTTCAAAGCTGACATTATTATTGGTGTTGACCCTGGTTCCCAGATAGACCAAATCATCTACGACTTCAAAGTTATGACTGTCAACAGTGACGTGGGGGCCAAGTTGCGCACTCGACGACTGTTTGTTTGATGACATCCGATATTTCGCCTTACCCTCGTTCACTGCCCGATCCATATCTTTTGCTTCCTTATCATCGGCGTACGCCAGCAGTTGTACACTCTTTTAGAAGATTATATCTGCTCTATGCAGATCTGCAGATCTTCATATTCGCCAGCAAAAAAGTTGCACAATAAGGAATCTCCTTATCTGAAACCTCTTTTAGTATCGAACGACTCGGAGAGGTCTTTCCCGATTCTGACCAAGCTTTTAGTGTTGGGTAAGGTCATTTTACACAGCCGTAAAAGTTTTGGGGGTATACCAAATTTAGACGTAGCGGCGTAAAGGCAGCTCCTTTTTTACTTTAAAATCGACGAAGAGGTTGTGTGGGGCGATTCTCTTTTCACGGGTCTTTTCCAAGGTTTTGATGATTGACTTACCAGGTCTAAGCCGCACGGATATGGTCCAATCAGGATTTTGACGGTGGGCTTAGGTCTTCAAAGACGATACAATGATTGACTTACCAGGTCTAAGTCGCACGGATATGGTCCAATCAGGATTTTGACGGTGGGCTTAAGTCTTCATGATAAAGAAACGGATATTCAAAGACAATACAATTAACTTTTTCGGGATTCACGTGCTTTTTCATGCATCTTTTTTATTTCCATTACAGTTAGAGGTGGAACTGATATTTTGTGGAGTTCAGCTGAAAGAATTCAAATCTGTATGCTTTCGTATGGTTCTACCAGTTTTGCTTATACTTACAGACATATATCTGAATTTTAAGTTAATTCGGTAAGGACATGTGCTCCGCTTAGCTCCACTTAGGAGTAAAACGAGTTCATTCGTATATCCAATTCTTAATTTTCACATTACTGATAGTTTTTATTTTCTTTTAAATTAAAATGACCCGAACTTGTTGGAATATTTCCATTAAATATAATCGAAATGAACAATTTCAGTTGAAATATACAACTTTTAAGCTGATACAACTCATAAAATAGAGCCAGATTTGCCTGAGGGACTATCTAAAAGCTGCTATGATATTATTTTGTTTGATCGGTGTGATCGATAAACTTCTCTGATTATATAACTAAATTAATTTTTTCAGCCGCTTTGGCTGCATTTTCGCCTTGATCGAAGAAAGATTGTAAAATATAGGGAATTTTCGCTTTGCTGGTGCCCATCTTTGACGTACTGAGACAATGAATCGAAAAACTGTCAAGGACAAACTCTTAGCGCAAATAAACAAATTTTCAGCGCCATATATCAGGTGTACAACTTTGCTTCCGCCGTTTTTTTTCCAAAATTAAAAGCTTTATTGCGAAAAAGTGCTTACAGATATAAAATATTATTCAAAGTATTGTCCTTCGCTAGCGACAACTTTCTCCCATCTTTCCGGCAATTTTCGGATCCCGGCTCGAAAAAAGGAGTCCTCTTTTGGCGCTATCCATGAAGCAATCCATTTTCCAATTCTTCGAAGGATTGAAAATGTTGATATGCCAGGCCGTGTGCCATTGAACGGAATAGGTGGAAGTCAGAAAAGGCGACATCTGAGGAATACGACGGGTGGGGTAAGACTTGCCATTTCAGCGTTTCCAGGTACTTTTCGACCACTTTTGCGACGTGAGACCGAGCATTGTCGTGTTGGAGGATGACTTTGTCATGTCGGTCTTGATATTGTGGCAGCTTTTCTTTTAGCGCGCGACTAGGGCGCATCAGTTGTGTTCGGTAGCGATCGCCTGTGAGGGTTTCACCCTGTTTTAAGAGCTCGTAGTAAAAGGTTGAAGGTTTTTCTCTTCCACCACCATGTTTGTCTTCGACATCGAAATCACCATTTTTAAAACGTTGAAACCACTCCCGACACGTTCTTTCACTCAGAGCAGCATCACCGTAAGTTTCTGAGAGCATTCGATGCGCTTCAGCTGCACTTTTTTTTCAAATTGTAACAGAAAAGTAAAACTTCCCGCAAATGGCGAGAATTGGGCACATAAACGGACATTTTCGAGCGTGAATAATACGAAAACAAGAACAGTTGTCACTGAAACGTTGATGACAATTCGTTAGGCACTGTCCACACTCACTTTAAAGGCATTATCATCTATGTATTTCAACCAGTCTCAACCGGTACAGCCACCTATCTGAAAATGGCGGAAGCAAAGTTGTACATCTGATAGTATAAAATGATGCGACACGTAACACTAGTACTATGGACTATCTCTTAGTTAAAAACCGAACGAACTTTTTACCGGACCTGTTATTTATATCCATAATGTGTGGTGAGTGTCTTAATGTTTTTCCAACAACTGGAGGTATCTATAGTTTATACTAAGCCGTCTCCGAGCGGCTGATGCATTTTAATGAGGAGCTTTGAATTTTCAAGTGATAAATACACGCGGTGGGCTTGACTTTCACTACTGAGAGGCGGTCGCAATTAGAAAAGTTAACTTAAATTTTTATTTTTTATTTTTTTTTAATTTTTTCTTGTGTGTTTCATTTTTTTGTTTGCGGCCGCTCTGACTTCTTTTCAACTGCCTTTTCTGATTACATTATGTTTTTCCCCATGTTTCACATTTACAAATATTTACACACACATTATATAATATTTAATTATTTTCTAATGGCATAGATGAATTGAGTGTGGCCCCCTTTATCGAGTACTCAGGCTGCCTACCACTACCTTAATCTTGGTGTCATTATTTGTAAGAAAGCCTTTAGGCAAGTAACTTTCATGTACATATGTATGTATGTATATGTACATATAAATAATAAGGCGATTGGTGACATGTAATTTAAATGCTTGAGGCTACTAAATATTTGATGATATTATTAGATATGATTTCATCAGCCGAATGTAATGAAAATCTTCCATATCCTTTCTGGTATAAATGCCTTAAACTTTTATAAAGAAAAAATCGATTTTGCTTTTCTATGTTTGTATGTATATTACGTAAGTGATTTTTTTTGTGTATAAATACTAAGCTAAACTACACTACGTGAAACTGGCCCAAAGTTTTTGGTTTTTAGTTATTTTTTTATTTTTTTTTTGGAAATTTTTTTCCATGATCCGTCAACGAAATTAAGGGATTTCCGTTTTGGCGCGTAACATATCTGCCAAGATTGTTGCTTTGCTGCCATTTAACTCCTTTTTTGCGGGAAAATAAACGCATATTTTATTTGCTTGAAGTATTAAAATTGTAAAAAGTTATAATGTAAAATTCATACCTCATAATCGTATGGCTGCATGTAGTCTTTGCAGCGCTGTAACCAGTGTTTAACGCGATTATAGGAATTAACATCGAATCCGAATGCTTCGCATTGTGAAACCGTTACCAAAAGTGTGAGATCAGCAATTGTGAATGCATCCGTTGCCGCGAATTCGTGACCCTTTAGAGTTGAATTAAACCAATCGAATGCCTCGGTCAATCTATCCTTTTTCGATTCATCTAAAGGTGCATTCCAGAATATGGTTGGTAGCTGAAAGTTAAGGAATCACTTGTGTATTAGAAAGAGCAGTTTAAGTGGAAAGAACCCTACACTCAGTCCAACATACGGATAATTGATATAAAAGCCCCACTATCAGCATAAATTTGAATTTAAGAATATATTTATAGTACGCGCCCAAGGTCATCCTACTTCTCCGGCCTCACATTATTCTGATAAATAGGAAGTCATTTCCTTAAAGATCTATCTATTTCAGCAGCGGTCTGGGTAAATATCCAGGTACAACCAATAATCGAGGAATTTACAATATCAGCTTGAGTGTTGGCGCGTTGAGAACATTGAGAAGTTAAGAGAACTTGAACTCATTCGTGTGTCCATGCAGAAAGATAGCGTAGAGGTTGCACATCGTGAAGAAAGAACTTAGATATTTACAATAACGCTATCAGCTAAAAAGAAAACTGGGAAGTGCGTCCTAAAAATTTTAAAGTCGTCATGAAAAAGCTTTGAAGCCGGTCAACACCCACTGATAAATGGTTTACTCCCCACACACGGAACAAGGCCAGCGGGCTCGACTTGACTTATTTTACCATCCAAGAGTGTCGCGCTTAGTCGAGTGGTTAGCATTGCGTACTGCCATTCGGAAGGCTCGAGCTCAAGTCCCCGTGCGACCAACATCCAAAAGTTAAAGAAAATTAATTTAAATGAAAAATAAGTCAAATTTTCTAATTGCAGAGAATGTCAGCCTCTCCGAGTGTATTTCTGATATGACAAAACCAGCAGCCGCTTGGAGGCGGCTTAGTATAAACTGTAGGTTCCTCCATTTGTTGGAAAAAAATTAACACGGAAAACCACAAATACAAGAAGGACCTCGGCCGAAAATCGCTTTAGCGGCTACAGAGCTCCAATTATATATTTAAGAGCGTCGTATAACTAAAAGAAAACTGAAGACCTATAGTGGGAGTATCAAAAATAATACCAGCAAATTGCCGAAACGTCTAACTAGACATTTAATGCGCTCTTACGACAGTGTATATAATATTAAGAAGAAACAAAACTCACTTCAAACGACTTTTGGGCCGAGCTCTTCCTCTAATATGTGGTCTTGCGTCTTGACGCTTTTCCAACAAATGGAGGGATCTACAACTCATTCTAAGCCGCCTCAGAGAGCTTGACATTCCCAGCCGAGAGGCGACCGCAATTAGAAAAATTATTTTTGGATGTTGGTCAAGTCAAGACTCCAACCACTCGGCTAGTGCGGACGCCAATACTTTCGTATACCTACTGGTTGAAAATTGCGAACGAAGAGGACCCGTACTCTCGGTGATGAAACAAATTTAGACAGAAACTTTTACGGAGTGTAAGATGAAGTTGTAGGCATACGTTGGATGAAATCTTCACACATTACATAAATAAAATAGATATAATACCAAACCCTCACCACTCCAAACTGTTTACTGACCACGGTCATGGCAATAGTTGCATTGTTATCATACATACTAAGGTGGTACAGCACCGATAGTTTCACCGGGTTAATCACCTCGTAAAAACAAGAACCTAAACTCGTGACACACATACGTTGATCGATACTCGCCTAAGGAATTACTCGGAGGCACGTTGAAATAGTTTTCAAATAATATTTGAAGCAAAACTCTATGAAAATATTAAATTGCTCAGCTGGCAGTGCCTGCAGCCTAGTGGATAGCTGCACGAGTTTCTAAGCGGAAGATCAAGGGTTCGAAACTTGCTCAGGTCAATAAGCCAAATTATAGAAGAAGCGAAAGTTAAACCTCACTCCGAGTGTATATTAATCACTGAAATATATCAGGTCAACAAATATAACAGTTCGTTCGGTTTTTATCTAAGAGATAGCGTTATTGTCCATAGGACTAGTGTTACGGGTCGCATCATGTCATACTACACGGCGCTGAAAACGTGTTTATTCGCGCTAAAAGTTTGAAAGGTTTTCGATCAATTGACTGAGTACGTTGTGAGCGCTCGTCAAAGATGGGCACCAGCAAAGAGAAAATTCGCTGCATTTTACAAAATGTCTTTGATCAATGCGAAAAAGCAACCAAAGTGGCTGAAAAAATAAATTTAGTTTATGGGCCCGATACAGTAGACGAACGTGTAGCACAATTTGCTGTGTGTTTGGTGGGATTGGCAAGGAATCATCTACTACGAGCTGCTCCCCTATAGCCAAACGCTCAATTTGGCACTCTACTGCCAACAACTGGACCGCTTGAAGGCAGCACTCATCCAGAAGAGGCCATCTTTGATCAACAGAGGTCGAATCGTGTTCCATCAGGACAACGCCGGGACACACACGTCTTTGGTGACGCGCCAGAAACTCCAAGAGCTCGGATGGGAGGTCCTAATACACGCACTCTATAGTCCGTACCTGACAACAAGTGATTAGCATCTTTTCCTGTCCATAACGAACGCGCTTAATGGTGAGAAGTTGGCCTCAAGAGAGACCTGTGAAAGTTGGCTCTCCGAGTCTTTTGCCAACAGGGACGCAGCCTCATACGAGAAGGGTATAATGAAATTGGCATCTCGTTGACAACAAGTTTACGAACAAAACCGCACATATTTGGACTTAAATCGGACAAATGTACACAAAGTTATCATATTTTGAAAAATCAATAAAGAACCGAATGAACTTTTTACCAAGTGGAATTTTACTGGTTAAGCCTGAAGTTGATAGAAGCAGGACAAAGTACTTCACAAAGCTAAAAAATATCCAAATCCGCTAGCTAATTCCTTATGCAACCCATCGAGAAATTCCCGCCTGCAGCGAAGAGATGTTCCCGCCTTCTAAGAAGAGCGCTGTGGTTTAAAAAGGGCTCAGAGTTAAATAACTCCAGCTATCATGTTTGTAATTTAGATTTTAAGATTTGTACACTTACTGTTAGGCTTATATTAAAGCAGATCCAGTAAGTAAATGAATTCTGTATATAAAAAAGGTATTACTTACATAATAATCAAACATGCGGGCATAAAGGGTGCTCAAATCAAAATGAATCCGCTGATCAACCAAGGCACGCACACGGACATCCTTTGGATAGAGTGAATCATCTTTGCCATATGCAGCGGCCAGGTATTGCAAAATAGCGCGACTGAAATTTAAATAAATAAATAAATTAAATAAACACAGTAAGTGGATGGGACATGAAACACTCCTCCTGTATGTGTCACTTACTTATTTTATTTCAATATTTTCCAAAAATTTTAATCATTTACAAGAAATTATTATTGCACTCACCTCTCCCACAAGACGAGACCTTCATCATTTATTGTAGGTATACAATGCTGAGGATTCAATTCAAGAAAATCTGGCTTCAACTGATCACCCGCCAACACATTGATGATCTTCAAATCGAAATCAATGCCCAACATTTTACCCAACAACAAAACGCTGCGACATGGTGGACTGGGCGGTAGATAATAGAGTGTCGGAGACATTTTAGCGCCACCTCTGCTTAATATGCAATAAACAAATTCTTTAACAATATGCGTTGTATCATCGAGCATAATCAAATCAGATTTTAAGGAATTAAAACAAACAAAAATCGAACACAAATTCCCATTGTCGCCTGCTGTTTGTGTACTCAGTAACAACTATTCTAATGCCAAGGATTATTCTTCTTTATATGCATACATATATGTATGGATATGTGAATATATTGCAGAGAACATGTGCGGCAGGTATATTGGAAAATCAACAATAAAATATTCATTGTTAATAATTACTTTTGTGACAGAAATCGATTTTAGTGCAATCCATAATTAAACGGAAGTTCGATTTCGAATAACATTCACAAGGACATTTCCTAGCGTGAATACACACTCACGTATGTGCGCAGAAATGTTAAGAAAATTATAGGCGTTTAAGCGTTCAAATATATTCAAAACAAATAAACGGAAAGCTCAAGCAGCGTTGGCAATACTGTTGACTCATTCTTCACTGAAATTTTAATTGCAACTCAATTCAGCTGCCCGCTTTAGCTTCACTTTAGTCCTGCATAATTCATTTATGCAACTGCTGTTGCACTTGCAATGTTGTGTTTTGAATTTAATTTTATTATTATTTTTATTTATTATTTTTATTTTTTTATTTTTTTAATGCACAAACTTTATTCTTATGCTCTACTCACTTCAATTGATGCACAATCTTGTGTGGCACAACAGCGACTGTATCGATGCAGTTACCCAGCGTGACGCGGTAAAGCGGCGACGTGTCCTTTTGGTGTGATTGTCCTTTGCGATTGATTGAGGTGTTCGTACGGTGAATTATTGCTTCTGTCAACTTTATATTTTGTTGTTTATTGAATTTTGTATCGAATAGTCTTCAAACGTAGCGGAATACCGTGGCATACTAGAACTAGAACTTTCTTGGACACTAAATAATGACATAATTACCGCCGTCTGTGTTTTTTCTCATTCGTAAATAACAGACAGCTGCTGGACGTGTTTCACTCAGAATTTATTCAAGTTCTTGGTAATTTGTTAGGCTGTTTTTGTTTCGTTTTGGGCATATGTTGCCAGGCAACAATGTGAATAACCCAATTGTAGTGTAGCTAACTGGCTATTAGGGGTATGCGTATACGTACATACCTATATGTATGATACATATATGTATGTATGTGTTTATACGAAGTGAAAAGTCAAATTGATATTTAGCAAATTTACTTTATATTTAGGAAAAATGTTCAATTATTCATCTTTATCAATTTGGGGTCCTACAAAGTACTTCTCCCCTAAATAAACGTTAAAGGCGGGACGCATTAAATATGCACTATAGACACATAAAGGGTTTACCAATAAGAGGTGCTATTCTGGTGCAATTATAATAAGGGTATAAGCCTGCCAGAGACGGTTTGTAAAACTCGTTTTGGGCATCGTGAAGCACCTTTGTCTGACGACCATACAGAAATTGGTTGAAAAAATTTAGCTGCTGGGACTAATTAGTGATGTGCACGTCGCTCCAGAACAACTGAGAATATTGCTGCTGTAGTCCAATGTGTTGAAAAAATTCCAGGGTTGACCATTCCTCGTCGTGCCACAAACGTTGTTACACCGTATTTTGCATAAAGTCTTGGGTTTTAAGGCTTATAAAGTTCAGTGAACACAAGAACTCAAGCTGCGCAATCATTAACAATGTGTTTCTTTCCTTATTGGGTGCTCAATATGCATGAAAATGATGCGTGAATTTCATTACAAATTCATCTCGACTGATGAGGACCATTTCCAACTCGATGGCTACGTTAATATGCATATGGCGCTCGGGAAACCCCAGATTTATTGTTGAGAAGTCTCTCCATTGTCAACTTGTAATTGTTTGATGCGGTTTATTGAATCATACTTTCACGAATATGAAACGGAAGCGCTATTTACGGTGAATAGATTATGCTATCGAGATATAATTAAAGATTTTTTTATGGCCGGGAATTGAATGGTATTGATCTAAATAACGTTTAATTTCAACAACACGGCGCTACGTGACACACAAGCAACAAAACCATTGATATTTTAAGGAAAAGGTTTTGAGCTACGATTTTTCTCCTGAAGAGATGATAGCAATTAGCCACCAAGATATTGTAATTTAACACCTTACGACTTTTTCCTTTGGGGCCACGTGAGAAATTAAGTCACCGCCAGCAGGCCAACCTCGATAGAAGTCCTCAAAGTTGGAACTCGTGAAGCTGTTAAGGGCATACAGCAGCCACTTTGCGATTTGGTAATGGAAAATTTCATAAAAAGGATACGATCCTGTAAGCTTATCCGTGGCGGCCACTGAGCTGATATTGTTTTCCATTATTCCTCTTTGCACCGAACTAAATATCCGTTCAGTTATCTCAAAACTAGCCATTTTTCTTGGAGTGTCATACAACGGGTGTGCAACGAAACATTTGGGTCTTAGAATTGTTATGAAGAAGTAGAAACTATATAGATTGGGTTGCCACGTTCAGGTCGGCCAAGCGAAGTTGATGACGACGATATCAAGGCTTCAATCGAATCGGATCGTCACGTAACTGGTCGTGAGATTGGAAAGAAGTTAAGTATACCAAAATCAACCATTCATAATCATACGTCTTGGACTGGTAAAAGGACGTGATATTTGGGTACCACAAGAATTGAAAGAAATTCGTTTAACAAGCCGTTTCAGCGCTTGCGCTATGCAACTTAAAAGCAATGAATGCGATCCGTTTTTCAGCAAACGTCAATCGAAAATCATGGTCCAATCATGATGAAGCATCACAAACCACTTCCAAGGCTGATATTCACCAAAAGAAGATGATGCTGTCAGTTTGGTGGGATTGGAAGGGTGTGGTATATTTTGAGCTGCTGGCGGAACCATACGATTAATCCGCATGTCTTCTGTGGTAAACTGAATACAGTCGTCAACAAGAAGCCGCCAAAAACTGAGAGAGCTTGCCTGGGAACTATTGATGCATCCAGCATATAGCTCTGACTTTGCACCGTCAGCATACCATTTGTTTCGATCTTTGCAGAGAGCTCATTAAGTTGTAATAATTTTGAAAATGACGAGGCTATAAAGCGAAAAAGGGCAACGAAATGGAAATTACATAATTTACTAAAGTTCATTATAAAATTATATAAAGAAATATATTTACTTTCTTTTAAAAAAATCGCCGGTTTCTTATTGCTTGGCATTTCTCCTTAGAAAACCTAATTTTTGATAAAATTTGCTGTTGGTCGCACCAGAACTCCAACCCTGGCCTTCCGAGTGGCACTACGCATTGTTATTTACTTGGCTATTGCGCTCATCGGCCGATATATTAGGTCCAGTAACAAGTCATCCGTTTTTTTGCAATAATTGCAGGTTTTATTTACCATAGTTAGAATTATCGATAACTTTTGGTCATTCCTTCTTCCTTCTTTCTCATAGAAACGCTTTTCCCTATTGATAAAAAATTTGGACAATTGTTTCTCATGGAATTCTCGGAGCTTTTGGCAAGTCAATGTCGATGTACGTGGTCCAGCTTCTGTTGGAAGTAAGAGTTTGGTCGTGAGCTGCTGAATAATATTTTGCAAGTACAACCAAGCATACAACAAAATCATCGTGGACGTCAATCGTGGCTTGGACGCCATTTGTGCCGGATCACTGCCTTCGACCAGTACCGTTTTCGTTTGACGTTGCTGTTAATTTAAACACTTTTCATCATCAGTCACGACTTAAGTCGATTTTGTTAAGATCCAGCAGCAAACGTCCTATTGAGCGTATTGTGCCCACCATCAACAAGCTGATTGAACCTTTTCAATGTGGCTTAAGACTAGATAAACCACCATACACATTCAATTTTTATCGATTCTCGACTGCATAGTATGGAGCTCTCCCTACGCCGCTGTGTCCAAGTTTGGTAATCCTGCAAAACTTACACGACTGTGTAAACTGGACAATACCAGAGGCGCAGTCAGAATTGGGAAGGATCTCTTCGAGTCGGCCTATACCAAACGAGGTGTCAGACAAGGTGACTCTTTATTGCGTGATTTCTTCAATTTGAAGCTGAAAAAAAGTAACAGTCGCAGAGCCAAATAGACAAGACACAATATTTTATAAGTGGGTATAACTGCGGGCGTATGCCGATGGCATTGATATCATCGACCTTATATTCGATGCAGTACCCCCTTACCGGAAGCATAGCAAGAGAAAGACCTTCACTCTGTTCAAATGATCAGGTGGAGGGTGACCTGGCTGCAATTGGTATTCTCCACCGGTGTCAAACGGCGAAGAGCGGGAACGATTGGCGGGCTATTGTTGATTCGGTTATAACTCGGAAATTCCTAGCGGAGATAAATTGTATGGTGGGTTATTGGGAACAAAAATTTGAAGAAAGTTTTCGTAACAGAAGTGTACCGGACTGGTTTTTATAAAAAATAAGAAAATTGCTACCAAATTTTGTATTAAAAATAAAAAAATAAAATTAAAATTTAATATATGTATCGAGTTCATGTTAACGTTATGATCACGAAACCGGCAGTTGAATTTAACGATGTGATGAATTCGTTTTCATTTTCTCAACCTTCCGTTAAATGTTTACTTAAAATTAGATAAAAAATGCCAGTGCTACTAAGAGAAAGAAAGAAACAACTTCAATCAGCTGTTCTAAACGTAAATTAAGTAAAATTTCTTAAATTTTTCTCAGCAATGTGGCTCACATTGTTAATTCGCTGTTTTCTGTTTGTAAAGCGACATCTCGCTGTCGAAAAATTAAATTGTTAAAGAGACCCTTCGCAGATATTGGGCAAAAATCAGTCAAAGTTTCTATTTTTTTTGTGGGAGAATGAAAAGTCCTACGAACTTCCAGTATTGACTATTAAATTTGTTTATTATTTGAGATTTTAAAACGGCAAAAAATAGTCGAAACTCAAAATGACGGCTACAAAAAGGCGATTTCCGTCGGCCTCTGCGCGAAACCATGCTCCAACAACTTCAAGCCTACAGCCTCTTTTAGCGGACTATAATCAAATATCTTGTCATCACTTGAAGATCATGAAATTTTCACCATTCTGAACCTCAATTGAAATAATTCTAACTATAAATTTATTGCATAATGCGCACTGCAATTTTCAAGTTAAATTTTTTGCTATTTTTTCACTTCAATTAAATTAAAAAAATATAAATAATTAATTATTAATGCTAATCTTACGTTCAAGACGTTTCAAAAAACTATATACTTTGAAACAGTTTTTAGATATAAGGGCTTGAAGTTACATCGGAAAATATGGTTTCGAGAAAAACGAGCTCAAAGTTTTTTGAAAGTCTCGCAGCGTGTGTGAGGCAGGTGTGTTCGAGAAGCTGCCATTTGAAAAATATTCAACGTGTTACAAAATCCCTTCAAACACGTACTCTACAAATATATTGCTTACATTATTTGCATAAAAAAATGGATTTTCCAATACAAAAT